TTTAATATAATTTAACCAAGTTTTACTTTTACCATTTAGACATCTGTCTAAACTCTTGATTTCGTCTAGCAACCTTACTCACGCCTCATATATGCATGTTGAGAAATTAATAATTATATCACTGATATCAAAACCTACCACAAAAATTTAAATTATATTTCTTACCAACAAGTGTTTCTATAAGGAATCTTAAAGTCTTTTTACTTCATATTGTAGAATTCTGTTTAAGACTTTCAATAGAATGAAACTAATTAAACAATTCCTAAAAAGAGAATGAATAAATATATAATTAATTTATTAAAAAAAAAACTCCAAAAATTATATACTGAGAAACCTAATTTTCTATCCTGTAAAAATATTGATTAACATATTTACCTCATTGCATATTTTTTTTTAATAAACTGTTAAAGAAGAAGACTTTTATAAATAAATTAAATCAGTTGTATTGAGTAAGAATAAATACTAACAAATAAAAATAACCATAAGGTATAGTAATATCATTTTATACAAAATTTTAATATATTTGTACCTTCTGAATTACCTCTTTAACATTCAAATTACTTTACAAGATGTTTAAAAAGAACCTGAAGTGTCAAAATATGCATTTAGTTTTCATCAATAAATTTTTTTCAGCGCTATTAAATTATATCACACATTTAAGTTTTGTGTAACATTTTGAAAATGAGCTAGTAAAAATGCATACTACTGTTAAATATTTACGTTACGTTATGTAATTCGAAATTATACAAAATTATAACACCTAAATTTAAGATTTCCCATTTGATTTTAATTACTAAAGTCATATTATTTTTAAAAATAAAAAAATACAAGTGATTGCCATAATAATCAACATAGTGATAGGATAGTAGGTATCCAGAAATATGTAATACAAATATATGCGCCTATTTTAAAGATTTTTTCACATATGTTATATACCACATAAAATATGCATGCATATATTCTGCAACTAATATGATTGCCTGATCATAACCTTAAATCTCATCAAGTAAAATTATCATTGCTGTATTCGCTATAATGATAATGACAATGGAGAGAGTAAATTTAACACAACTTTATAAAGACAGCTACTATACTACTGGCACTCTTATGTTTTGCAAATTTTGTAATATTAGTATTGATCATAAAAACAAATCTAAAGTTAATCAATATTTAAAAACAAATAAGCATAAAAAAAATAAAATTACTATAGAACGAAAAAATCAATTAAATAATACATCTCGATAACAAATTACACTTGAAACCTTTGAATATACAATTGCTGAAAAAGATGAACTTAATTTGGAATTGGTTAAAGTTTTTTCTGTAGCTGCCATTCCTTTAGAAAAGATTAACAAATTAAGGCCTTTTTTTTCATAAATTTTGTAAAAATGATATGTTTTAGCATATCGATATTGATATTTATTTTTTTTAATTTTTTTTATCATAATTAATTAATTATTTATTTAAAATTTATTAGGTGGAACAATTGTTAATGCTAATCAACTATGTGAAAAGTTTTTACCAAAAGTATATGATCAAAAAATTGAAAATTAAATTTTATATTAAAAGATGAAAATATTTGTATTATTGTAGATGAAACTACCAATGCTTGTGAAAGGGCAGCAGTTAATGTACTTTTTATTTTCAAGAATCAAATCAAATTAGTTGCTACTGAATATGTTATTGTAGCAAATAATACCACAATATCACAAATAATTTTATCAACTCTACAAAAATACTAAATTTCCTTTAATGATGTATTACTTTTTATATCTGATAATACTAGTTATATGGTTAAAACTTTAAAAATTTATCCCCAATTATGCCACAAATGAAACACAACAATTATCTTGCTCATATTATGAATTTAATTGGAGAATGTTAGATAGATTTTCCTTTTTTTTAATTGCTTGATAATATTACATCAAATATCAAAAGTAGTTTTATTCATAATTCTGCAAGAAAAAGAAGATAGGTTAGTTATCTTTTTTCAAATGTTATTAATAATCCTACTTTATCTCCTTTTTTTGAAATTCCACTAAAAAATTTAGATACTTCTAATCCTAATATTACCTTACCACCATTACCAGTAAAAACGCATTGGTGTAGTTGATTTAGATTTGTATTTTGGCTTAGTGATTACATTCCATATATTGTATCATTTTTTCTTGAAGAAAAGAAATTGGATAATAATAGCAAAGCAATTCGTTATTTAGCAAAACATTTTAGGATTGAATAGCAGTTTTTAATTTTGAAATTATGGTTCTTTTTATTAAATCTAATGCTAACTGGTAAGTGATTTTTAAATTAATTATTGAAAATATTATATAATTTACTAATTAACTTAATTTTGATTTAGTTTTGTTTTTGATTTGGAATTTTTTAAAATCAGAAATAAACCTTTAACAGCTTTTGTTACCAATCATATAAATCAAACTCAAGCTATATTAGAATTTGATGCAAATGATCACCTACTTTCATCTGAAATAATTGCAAAATGTGATTATTATAATATTGATCCTTTGGAATTTAAGCCTTATTTTAAACAAGCATATCAAGTTGCTTTAGACAAATGGAACAAATAAATTCAATATCATTCAGCATTACCTTTATTTAAAGATATTTAATGTTTTGATCACTGATTTATTCATATTCAAATTAATAGACAAAATATTTTATCAGATACTAATATAATTGAATTTCAAAATCCTACCAATGTTTTATTAGATGAATGAAGCATTTATTGTAGATTGGAGGAAATAATAGAAGGAGGAGAGTTGGATTTAGATAATTATTGGAAAGAAAAAAGCCTTACATTACCAAATTTATCAAAAATAGCATTGATTTATATTTGGTTACCAGTAGCTGGAGTAGATGTAGAGTGCAGTTTTTCTAATTACAAAAATATTTTGAGTGAAAGAAGAATGCGTCTCTCTGAAAAGTCAATTTCAATGCTTAATTTTTTGTATTATAATCAAAATTAAATAAATTCAATTTTTTTGCGAATGATTTTTATATTTTATATTACCTAAAAAACACATATTATTACATATTCCACATATTTCTGGACACCCTATAAGATAGAACCCCATATGCTGGCTTTTGATACTTTTTTTTTTGTAATGCTATTAAGATCGGGGTCTAAAATTATCGTCATTTGAAGATGATCCTCGGTCCAATCTCACCCCAGATCAATAAAGACCGGATCGAGATTGGATGGATCGGATGGATCGGATCGTTAACAACCCTAAAGACGCGTTCTCAAAAAATAATTTTTATACAGAATTGTGATTGTATCTTAAAATATCACCAACCTCTGATTTTTTTTTTGCCGCGTCTCCTACGTTTGCAATTACCATAGCATATTAAAAAATTGAGCCAATGGTTATTTTACCATCCCTTTTTCTGAAGATGAGCTCTCTTAAGAAACTAAAAAAAAGCTTGTGGTATAAATATCAAAATAATAATACGATTCGAATACGTATTGAAAGCCAACTTCCTTCTCCCGAAGAAGAACCCAGTGTTTATGACATTGAAAAAGAAATTGAAAATTATCTGAAAATTGGAAATTTTACACTCAATGTAAAACGTCCTATTGACGCAGACTACCAAGTGTTGAATGACGACTTATTCCATAATTGCGGAAACAATTACGTCACACTAAGAAATTATTTTGAAATAACAAAAGATAACCCTATTATTGTCGAAAGTGTGGAAGGTTAGTGACATTAAATTGCATGTTGATTTATTTATTTTGAGAAGTTATCATGGTGGGAATTTATATTTGAGAGAATTTTGTTACTGCTAACTTCTCTTGTCTTTCGTTAGTGACCACATCAGATAATAATATAATACAAGAATTGGAAGCTCGGCTAGCCGTTTTGCAGATGACTCAAGGTATATCTCAATTTATTGCCATTAATTACGTACTTATTGCTATTTATGTGCTGTAACATATATAATACATCTTTTGTCTTACCAGAAACAAGTCCAGCAACTGCGACGTCTAGTACATCAGGTAATTTTTCTAGTAGTTATATTTGTGCATGTTTAAGCTAATATTCTTTATTTACATTCTATTTTAACTGTAACAGTTCAAGCGTCTTCTAACGAAATACATTTCCGTTATAGGAATGAAACCTTCTTTTTTGATCAAAATGCCTTAAATTCTATGAGAATATCCAATGTGGAGAAACTGAAAGGGGCGATCAAATTTCGATTGGATATACCAGAAAATATCACCCTTCGTAACGGGGAGAACAAAGTGGGTTCAGAAACTCCCATCTCTGAATTATGCAACACGGAAAGTTATGCACTAGTTGTCGTAGTTGATGGTAAGCATTTTATTGACTAATTCTTCTTGCTTAAAAAATGCAATTAGACTACAATTATTCATCATCAGACCTCACAGATAAAATGTCAAGACTAGAATTTGAGCCTGAATTTCAATATGCTTCTGGAGCATTTGGGTGTGAATTCAAAAATAATTTAGATTATGTTGGATATTTTCAGAATTACATCACAACATGTTACAACAATTCTAAAGATACCTACATGCCTTACATCTCCATTGTGCAATCTTCTGGTTATGGCAAGTCAAGGCTCATAAAAGAATATGCAAATGAGGTCTACACCTTGTACTTAAATTTAGGTATTGATCGAAAATGTTTCCCCCGCCCTTCAGCCTGTGCAAAGGAATTCGTAGCTTCATTTCAAAAAGCTAAAGATCCGGTAGTTTGGTTCAACACCTTTTTGGCAATGGCAGTTTACTTAGTGGTTTCTGAAGTAAAGAAAAATAATACTGATAAAAGCTCATTCTGGAGAAGCCACCTTGATGATAATGGACAATCCATCTGGGATCTTGCAATAAGAGCTGCAAATGAGGCCGAAACTTCTAATGATTTGATATCAATCAGAGATAATCCAGGATATTTGGAGGAAAGTTTTACTAGTGAAAATGACATCAAGCTTTTACTCTGTATTGATGAGGGAAGAAAGCTCATACAAGAAACAAATCGTGATCTAGGTATAACTTTATTTCGATGTTGGAGACGTGCACTTCAAAATAATAAGTGGAGAACAAGAGGTTTATTTTCAGTGATATTGGATACCACATCACGAATCACAAATTTTTCACCTGCTTCAGGTTATGACCCAACTATAAAAGCTCTTCAAGAAGATGTGGAGCTTTTCAAGCCATTTATTTATATTTCTACTTATAGCTCTTTGGTAAACAATTCAGACAACTTTTATGACTATGCATTTTCTATAGGAAGACCATGTTGGAAAGCGCTTAGAAATGAATATATTAAAGAAGTTGTTAGATCAGATAGTGCTGAATGTTACGCTTGGGAAAAAGTTAAGTTGCTTATAAAGGCAAAACTACAAGGAGGAACTAATAATCCTACTGATGATGAAGGAAAAAACCTTACAAGTGTAGCTCTTCTTGCTTCCTTTTGTTCTGTAGATATTTCTCCATCAGTACATTTTGCTTCAAATCTTGTTGCTAGCCACCTTGGAACCTGTCTTGCAATTTCTCAAGATAGGACAAAAATTCTAACCTGTTATCCTTCAGAACCATTGGTTACTGAAGCTGCATATGAACTTTTAGATGATAATATGTTGTTTCTTATTGCACAATCTTTTAACCAAGGAGTTGTAGAACCTGGAAAACGTGGTGAAATAGTTGGAGAACTTATCCTTATACTTACCCGTCAAAAGCTTTATAAAAGACTTAAAAGGGCAAAAAAAGCTACTTTTTATACAGGAGAAATTAAACTTTTTATCTTTTTGGAAGATTTGTTAAAGAATAATATTGTTTTAAAAAAGAATTATGATGAACATAAGTTTTTTAAAGACGCCAATATTTCTTTTACGAGATTTGTGACTATTCGCACAATTCCAACTCTTAGTGATTTAGAAAAAGGCTATAAATCCTGTGTAGCATTTAATCTCAAACGAAATCAACAAGGTGCTGATTTTTTAATACCAGTTAAATGTAATGGAAAATATACTGTTTGGGTCATTCAAATCAAGAATCACAATCTGCTTAAATGCAATTCTGGCGTTACGGAAGATTCAACATCTAAATTAGAGCCTAAATATGTTTTTTCCAAGACTGACTTGGCAAAACTCGAATCTCCTTATCTTGCTATGTATTGGCAGTTAGGTGCTCATCAAATTAACATTGAAGAAGTGGAATGGGGAGTTTCTTCTAGAACACGTGAAAAGGAAAAACAAGACAAAACATCACCTTACACACACTATACTATTTTAGGTCTCAAATCTTTTAAGGTTGCAAATGGAAATACTCTTAAAGGTCTTCGAACAATTCTTGAAGCTTATGTTGATCCTTATGATACGTTCTGGTCATCTGATAAATTTTTTGGAGATCCAACAAATCATATTGAATCATTTTTATCTTGGCATCCTCCTGATAACAAGATAGATGTTGGAGTATTGTTAGACGAATATGATGATAGAGATGCTGAAGGTCCTGTTCAAGAGGATTGATATAACTGGTATAATAAGATATTTTTTATATGATAAAGTTTGCATTTATTAAATAGTAATAAACATAGTAATTCCATAATGTAATTCCATAATACAAATGATGTAATTGCTATTCATAAGAAAAATTTTAATATATTACATTGAATGTAAAATACAATTAAAAAAAATTTACTCCATTACTGATTCATAATATCAAATTTATAATTTGGCTTTAACTTGCTCCGACTTTACTTTCGCCTTTTCAAATACTTGACGCATTTCAGTGGCTGATTCTTTAAGATAATGCCACATAACATCATTATTTAGTCTCATGGAAACAATATTGAAATTTAAAAAATCTAATAAATCAAAAAAAATTATTAGTAATGCAGAAACAAAATTTAATAGAACCAATTAGGTAGAATATTTGACGAACCATTATTGATCATATAAGCTATGCCATAACCTATGAAAGGTAAAATTTATAATAAAAGGGATTAATTAATTATTTAATAAAAGAGAATACAATACATATGAATTACAAACCATCGGGTACAACCTAAATTAATTATTTAAACGTTAACTTATATATATTATATTATCAATAACACACCTCAATCTGACAAATTGATACGATAAACATACCTCCCCCCATCCATAACCTTGAAAATTTTCTGATGACAATTGTGAAGTTGACAGATTCCAATGAGACGACTTTGCAAAAGCAGGATCCGTGAAAATTGCCGGTTTCTGCTCATCGGGCTTCAAAGACATACGAAGTCCTTTAAACAACAATTCACATATCAAGTTATATTAGGTACTTATAAATATAAGGTTTAGCTAATTTTTTTTTACAAAAATTCGGAATCTTCTTTACCGAATAAATGTCTATCACAGCCTTTACCCTCTACAGACTCTGACATATATCTGACATGAGCATCAATTGCCTTGCGTCCCAATTCAGCCTTAGACTCAATCTATATATAATTAACCATTTTAATAATAGATTTTCAATTATAGAGAAGAATAAGCAGAACAAGCATTACCGAAACTTGTGGATCCTCCATAGCCTTGACCCAATTCACAGAGTCAACAGACACTGTTCTACACACTTCAGTTCTACCGTGCTGAAATTTCCTAGTTTGGGCACTTTCATAAGTTGCCCTATTGATACCATACATTTTATAATAAGCTAATTGGATAAGCATTTGTACGTAAGCATCTGGCGAAACTCCAAGTTTTTTGATACCATTTTTTCCATATCCTTCATATGCTAAAACACGAAGGTCATGTTTGGCGATCAGATCATCAAAATTTTTCTCGGATTTTGAAATAGCTGAAAGAATTCCACCGGTCAAGTTAAAATGAAGTTGCTCCGGAACCGGAAGATTAGAACGAACATTTGGAGATCCATAATCAACTTTATTATTTGCAATTATGTCACAAACAAATTCATTCAATCTACACGTTGGAGTACCATCCATAGAAGAATGCTAAATGAAACATGATAGTAAGCATATAAATTATTAAATATTACATCATTTGAATTATAAAGCTATTTCCGACCTCCCCGTTAAATCCGGCCTTCCCATTCTCGAACACAATAAATTGAAGTGATTTGTCAAAATAACTAGAGAGAATAAAAATAGTTAAATAACCTATAAAAACGATAATTAAACTTTTCAATGATAAAATACCGGTTGCGTCCATCTCCGACCCAACATGCATGGCTTATATCATCAACCGTGATTGGTGATGAATCATCCAAACAAAGGACGAAGGCTGAACTTTCAATTTTCTTTAATAATTGCTCATGTTTATGATTCGCAGCCAAGAACATTTTGCGATACTAAATAAGCGAATACGAATCAGTCATCGTTCACGAAAAGGAAAAAAATATTTATACACTTACTTCTGTCCAAGTATCTCGATTTTCAGTAGTAAGAGCTCCTATTGGAGGATCTTTCTTTTCACCAGCTAATTCGTAAATCTTTTTGAGTTGACTAAAAAAATGGTATAAATATTTATTCTAAAGTATCCAGACAAATCGATTAGGTTACAAAATTATATATACCTTTCAATTTCTGCAGTCGACAACTGAACTCCATCCTTGATTAAATCAAGAATAAAAAATTTGTTTTTACGAATAACCGTGATATGATTATTAGTCGCCGGATCAAAGGTCATTTCATAGTCTGATGGTTTGGATGGATACCGGCAAGCATTAAACATGAATTTGTACGAATCCATGCAAAGTGGAATTCCTTTTACATATTCAGGTTCTAATTGTTGACTACATTAAAAACGATTTAAATTAAATGCATACGGTGAGGTGCACTGTTTACTTAAAATAATCTCCACTTACTTGACAACTTGTTTTCGAAATTCTAAAGCTGCTGTCACAATTGCGGCAGCACGCGTGGCAGGGTTTCTCCTAAGTATATCGTCTTTATAAGCAAAAAAATAACTCACAAAAACGACGATCGGATCTCTGTAGCCAAAATAAGCAACTTCATTCCACCAATCCTCTAACCAATTAATCGTACTGGGATTGTTAGCCTTTGACATCAATCTTTTTTGCAATTCTTCACCAACCCCACCGGGCTTTTGAAATTCTATTACAGCAGCTTCCGTCTTTGCAAATTCCTCGGAGTTTACAAAAGGTCGAACGGATTTAAGATATTTCTCAAGTGTATCTTTTAGAGCAGGAACAGGAAGCTTTGGAAGCGATTTTTGATAACGTAACATTGGTCCAACACTATTATCCTCAGGGTATGGAACTACTGGTTTCCTTGTAGCGGCTGAAGCGTTTCTGCGTGCCATATTGCTCAATAACTGTAACATATACACAAGTTATATACTCGCTAAGGTATCTCAATTAAATACTTATGAATAAGCTTTAAAATAACCTGTTGTGATGGCTGATTAATATTTCGAGCGAACGAACGCGAAAGTCCGAATTTAAAGGACATCAAAAGAATTAGCTTCTCGGAAGGAGAAAATTTTTTTTTGTTTGATTTGGCACATGATATGATTCCATCTTTCCATCTTATCTGATAAATTCTAGATACCTAATTTGGAATTCGACTGTTTTTGGCGTTATTTTATTTAACTGGGCGCATCCACTTTTTTTTTTTTTCAACAAAATGAACGATTCAATCATAATTATTCCTAAAGTCCTTCCAATTGTTCCAATTAGGAATAAAGTTTTATTACCTGGATTGGCTCTTCGACTTCACATTGGCCGTAAAGAGACGGTTCAATTAATGCAAAGAATTTATAAATCTGCTGACAATAAAGAGTCGAAGTATATTATTGGTTGTGTACCAGTTCAACCACCTCATAAGTCTGAGCCCAAAGATACCAACAATTCTTCGAATATTCCTTTTACTTTGACACGGAATGTCAACAGAAATTCTACACCAAAAAAGACAATTGAAGAAACCTTCAATCAAGCAACACAGCCCTCAGATTTGCATGAATTTGGTTGTGCTGCTCGAATAATTAAATTGGAAAGAACAGTTGGGGGTGGTTTTATAGTGGTCGTCGAAGGTGAGGAATGTTTATTAAGTAACCAATTATTTTGAAATGGATTTCTAATATTATTGATTGTATTTTAGGAGTTGTTCGTATTCGTGTTGACAGATATGTCCTTGAAAGACCATACCTTGAAGCTGAAGTGACCACCTTCCCTGAAATTTCTGTTTCTAATGATGATCAAGAATTGCAAGAGCTTGTCATATTATTAAAGTCAACTGGACGTGAATTACTTGCATTATTACAAGATTTGAAACTTCCAACTTCTGTTCTTACCCAACTTCAAAAGTTTATAGAAAATGCTTCTTCCGGAACATTGGCTGATTTATTGATTAGTACGATCGATTCTTCGTATGAAGAAAAGCTGGTAATTTATTTATCAACTTCATATTCTCCCTTAAAATTTTCAATATATATATATGAAACGTTACAAATTAATTATTTTATACATAGCAAATTTTAGATGCCCATGATTTGAAATCCCGTATGTCAACTGCAATTGAACTCTTGACAAAACAAATACATGTAATATTATTTTTATTCATTCCTCTTGAAAGATAATATGAAATTTATTTACATTATTATTATTATGCTGTATTAGGTATTAAAGATCTCTCAAAAAATTCATTCAACGGTTGAAGGAAAATTGAGCAGGAAACACAGAGAATTTTATTTACGACAACAAGTAAAGATTTATATATTATATTTAGTATTATATTTCTATTTAGTTAATATTAATAATTTTAACTTCACAATTATCAAAATTATAAAGCTTAATGCTATTAAAGAAGAATTGGGTGAACAAAACGATTCACCTAACGAAGAAGACGAAATTACAGATTTAACGAAAAGAATACAAGAAGCTGGGCTCTCAGTAGAAGGTAAAATAATAATTTTGAAAATTAAATTATCGATTTTAATAATCATGTTGAAAAATTTTTTTTTAAAAAAAAAAAAGCTGATAAAGCTGCACAAAGAGAGCTCAAACGCCTTAAACGTATGCATCCAACTCAGGCAGAATATCAAGTCGTCCGTACTTATCTAGAATGGCTTTCAGAAATTCCATGGAGTAAATCCACCACTGATATTTTAGATATTCACAAAGCACGTCAGCAGCTTGAAGATGATCATTATGGCCTTGATTCAGTTAAGAAACGTGTTTTGGAATACTTGGCCGTTTTAAAATTGAAAGAAGATCTGAAAGGACCAATTCTGTGTTTACTTGGTCCTCCAGGTGTTGGTAAAACTTCATTGGGTAAAAGTATTGCAAATGCGCTCGGACGTAAATTCCACAGAATTTCTTTGGGTGGAGTGAGGGATGAGGCTGAGATTCGTGGACATCGTCGAACTTACATTGGTGCCATGCCTGGACTCATCGCCCAAGGTCTTAGACGTGTCGGCGTTAAAAACCCTGTATTTTTACTTGGTATTTTTATTTCTACAATGATCTTTTTCATTAGATTTATAAAATGCTCGTTTTAATTATATATTTATTTTATTTATTCAGATGAAATTGATAAAGTTGGTCATTTGAGTAATCATGGAGACCCATCTGCTGCTTTGCTTGAAGTTCTCGATCCAGAACAAAACAATACTTTTAACGATCATTACCTTAATGTCCCCCTTGATTTATCTAAAGTTTTATTTATTGCTACAGCTAATCAAGTTGACACGATACCCCCTCCTCTTCTAGATCGTATGGAACTTATAACTGTTCCAGGATATACATTTGATGAGAAAATAAATATTGCACAAAGGCATTTATTACCAAAGCAAATAATAAATCATGGTCTCTCAATAGGAGATGTAAAGATTTCTGATAAATTGTTACTCAAAATTGCTTCCGGTTACACCAGAGAAGCCGGTGTTAGAAGTTTAGAAAGAGAGATTGCGAGTGTATGTCGAGCAAAAGCTGTGGAATATGCCGATGCAAAAGATAAGGACGAATTATATGGTTACTGCGGGGTAATTTCTGAGGAAGGAGTTGAAAACATCTTGGGGGTATGAAAATATTTTTATCCAGCACTTTAATATTCGTTCCTTTATCCTTAAATTATCATAATGACCAATTTTCATTTTAGGTTACTAAATACGATAATGAAGTTGCTGAACGCACTGCAAGACCAGGTGTAATAACTGGGTTATCATGGTCAGCATCTGGATCCGGTGGTATTTTATTTATTGAAGCTACCCAAATGGCTGGAAAAGGCAACCTTCAATTAACAGGTAATTATTATAATCATGTGATTTGATAATAAATACAATTTAACGTTTTTCTAACATTGTAGGTAAGTTGGGAGATGTAATCAAAGAATCAGCCACCATCGCACTTTCATGGGTGCGATCACATGCTTTTCAGTTGGGAATCACAACATCGGAAACCGAATCCACGTTTTTCTTTCAAAGAGATGTCCATATACATTTTCCTGCAGGTGCAGTAGGTAAGGATGGACCGTCAGCCGGTGTAGCTTTGACAACTGCACTTGTTTCTTTATTCACGCATCGGCGTGTGCCACCAACAACAGCGATGACGGGAGAAATTACTCTACGTGGTCAAGTATTACCCGTAGGTGGTATTAAAGAAAAAGTAATTGCTGCACATCGTGCAGGTATTAAAAAAGTTATCCTACCTACAAGGAATCGAAAAGATGTTGAAGGAGATGTACCAACTAATGTGAAGAATGAAATCAATTTTGTTTACGCAAATAGTATTTTCGATATTCTTCAAGCTGCTTTTGAAGGAGAAAAAATTTGGATCGATTCTGCTTCAGTTGTAGAATTTGAAAGTCGACTTTAAAGACAATACTTTATTTATTTAAATTATTATTCAGTGATTATTAATGTAATAAGAAAAGATTGAAGTCATGAATTCGTTTGTTAATTAATAAATGTTTTTACATAATTACAATGGGAAAAAAAAAAAAAAATAAAAATAGAACAAATTTTAGTGTTGAATATGATATTAGGACCAATTGATAAAAAAAACAGGTAGAATTATATTTTATTATATTAAAATAAACATAAACCAAAAATTAAAATAGATCTTAATTAAATACAAAAATAGTTTTTAAGTTATTCCAAAACATGCAAATAAATTTATTAAACCATTTTTAAAGCCTTTTATATAAAATTAAATAAAATTTTAACTTTTTAAAGAATTTAAGAATTTTTATTTTGGCTTTATTATAATGTGAAGCATGTGAAGCTAACATTTTATATAAATCCAAAAAAAATTTTTTGATTTAAAAATAAAAAATGATATTGCTGGCTATATTTTTTCAATATACAAAATTCTTAATAAGCAATTAATAAGTAATAATCATAATTGTCTCATAAAATCCTCTATCAACAATCATTAAAACACTTGCAAGAAATACTTTTTTATAAACAGATCAGCTCATTCAGATTAGGCGAATACTTCTTCATGTTTTTGCTTTCTAGTAAGAGTAATATTACTAGAAATCTAAATAAAAATCCTAATCCCAATCTTATTATCCTAATAATCCTTAAAGAATAATGCCTACCTTTTATCCCTTCAAATACATGTTCTTTATATAAAAGATTTTGTATTTGAGATATTCATATAATTATTATTTTATATAATGTTAATTTAATTGAATTAAAATCTTTTTTCTTATAAATTTTGCAAATAAATAGATTTATTAATATTGTTTTAATTGATGTATAATTTATTTTTTGTTTTAATTTACTTTCTTGAAACATCAAATTTTTAAATTTTAATTTTTTTTTTTTAAAAAAATAAAAATATAAAATTTATTTTTTTTTGTTTAAATATCTTCAAAATTGATTATCTTTTATTATATTCACAACTTTTAAAGGAAAATAGCCAGCTAAACCATTAAAAAAATCACTAATATTATTAATAGAAATAATAAAATAACAGATATTTATGATTTGATTAATTAACAGTTAATTAACATATATATAGATTTTTTATAAAATTTCAAAAAAAATTTTTTATTGAATATTATTCTTTATATAAATTTATTACATTATATTCAAAATTATGATTACTTTAGTCAGAATTACATTTATCATTATTTTCTTTATTTTCACTATTATTATTAATTACTAATACTAAATTTTATTTTTAAAGGATTTTTATAAATCCAAAGTTTCTCATAAATATAAACTAATTTTTTAATATGTATATTTTATAATCTATTATGAATTTTATTATGAATAAAAACAAAAGTGAAAAAATTTCTTTCTGCAATTATAGATAATATAAAAATTAAAAAAATTTTAATAGCTAATTATTAAAGTAGTCTAGTTTACTATCACAGGTCAAATGCTGATCAATCAGATACCTTTCCAATTAGTCACTATTTTTTGATTAGCAACCAATAGATAAAAATCAGTAGATAATACAATCGGGTATGAATCAGTTAAAACCATAATTTTAATTATTAGGTAGAATTACATAAATTGGTTTTCAATCTTATTTTTACTTATTTTAAAAATTTATAACTATATATTAAATAGTAATAAATCAGTTTCAATTAATAATTAGTTATCAATCAGTTTAATACCCAATTGATGATTATTATTCAATTAGAATTTACTGATTGGTTTCTATATTAATAAATTTACCGATTGTTTCCAATTTATAAAATTATTTAATATTACAAATTTATTAATTTATTAAAGTATACCGATTTTTACAAATTTTTTTAATAAGATATAATTAAATTACAAATGAAATTGTCTATTAATAAGTATGACTGCTATATATTTTTTCAGTTTTCGTATACTAACTATAAATTCACTTGGTACAAATTGACTATATATATTATGAACTGGGATGATACTATCTCTATCAATCTTATAGAATTCATCTTTTTAAAGCTCAATATTACATAATTTACATAATTCTTCTTTAACATTAGATTTACAATGAAATTTTGTTTGTCGGTCAGAAACTAGTATATGCCATTTTACAAATACTAAATGATGTGTTATAGTATTTATTGAAAAGTCAAGTGAATGTCCAAAATAGTATTGTACTTTACCAGGAAATATATCTGTCATTTCATCGCTTTATATAAATTTTGCCAATATATGTGAATTCCTCATATATCGGGATGCAATTGTTACTCCAAAGATTTCAGATCCAATCTTAATATGACCATATTGATTAACATATAGCAAAATGATGGTGAGATCTTCTGATATTTCAGAAATTACACCTGCTATTGTTACAAATTTCCTATCGTATGTATTATTATAATATTGAACCAATAATTCATAAATATTATCTGGTAAAAATACACATTCTTTTTTTGGAGAAAACATTTGTTCTAGAAATGGCTTATTACCGATAACAGTTTCATTAAGATGATGAAAGATTTATACAAATCAGTATAATTCTGTAAAATCCAATTCATTATATGATGCTAAACTTTCAGCTGTTGGACGAAACTTTATTAATTCAAGAACTTGTGTCAGTTTTGAACAATCTAATTGATCAAAAATTAATTTGTCTATTCTATGGTTTTATACAATGATGCGTAGAAATTCTAATTTGATTTGTCGCTTACTGTTTAGAAGAGATCCTATAAAGAAAAATTAAATAATTATTAATCATATATTTAATAATTTAATAATAATTGATATGAAATCTCACCTAAAATTCTATTCATTCTTTTAAACGAATAATATCAGAATGAATACAATGGACTATAATCATGACAGCATTCAGTAATATGAAACAAAAAATGTATATTTAGTATTATAAATACTGGTCCATAGTTTTCTTCAACCAAACATGCTACTTGTAACAATCAGGTATGAGTTTCAGTCAACTTATTGTTGTCAATTATTTGACATACAAGTAATGAGCAAGCTTTAACAAAATTAACTAAAATTTTCCTATCCGGTAAATCTAAAAGATCCCATAATAATGGAATCACATATACTAAAATAAAAGTTTTCCATTGATCAGCCGTAAAGCCAGAAAATCCTTCTCTAGTTGAAATTTTATTTGGGATCCAACCAAAATCAGCAGGTAGGTTGATGATTTTTGCACGTTTTTCCAATAATACAAGATCAATTTTATTAGACCATAACATTTTTACTATTCAATAGGCAATAGTGTTCCGCACGGATCGGATCGGATCGGATTTGGGCAAAATCCGATTTGATCCGAATCCGAAAATCCGAATCCGATTCGATCCGAATCCGACAAATCCGAATCCGATTCGATCCGAATCCGACAAATCTGAATCCGAATCCGAATCCGTATCCGTATCCGAAAATCCGAATCCGAATCCGTATCCGTATCCGTATCCGACAAATCC